AGTTTGTGAGTTAACCTCCCAGGATATGTGATATTTGACATCAACCATACCAGAAGTTGAATTTTTGCGTAGTCCCGTACATTTACAATGAATACATGTCTTCCACTGTATCCATAATAGCCATCATTGTAGGCACAATGAGTTGGAGAAAATCACACAATTTTGGGCATTGAAACACCGAGATCTGCCCTGTTTTTCAATTATGTAACATCTAGTTTTACATGTCCCACGCAAAATAAAAAAATCAGCCCTCGACACTGAAGGATTCAATGAATCCAAGTTAGTAGTTACTCGCACGCTTCGCCATGCTGTCACATGAAATCTACAGTATTAAGCCCAAAACTTGAACGTGATCTTTGAAGAATGGTTGTAACATTTAAATTTAACAAAATACTAGCATAAAATGCAACCGAAACCTTACCTTCCTTTACTAGTTCCGACAAAAAAGCACAACTTCGATCACCAGCGCATTCCAAACCAATAAGGGAAGCTACGAGGCAATGTCAAATTCTCGTCTTCCTAACCTTTCCAACTTATCGAAGAAAATTTCACTGATACTTCGCGCTTAAAAACGCAACAAGAATATTAATCTTTCAACAATCCGAAGTGTCCCAAAAGGCATCAAGGATAAGCCCATGAAACAAGAATAGCCCATGAAATTCTCAAACTTCGAGTGCGGAAAACTTAACGATAGTCTCACAATTTTGCATTGCATCCCTCCCCTAGTTGGGAAGTGACACGCAGAAGACACGTTCACAACACACTTTGATTGGAAGAAATAAAACCGCATTCTATTGGTTATTAGGTGTTAGGACATACCTACAACGGAAGACGCAACAGCAACGCTACAATTATCAGGTGTGAATTTACATACAATGAAGTCAGTGTAGTTTTCTTCTAAAAATAACGCTTCCACAATGCAACGCAATCAGAGTGCAGACACCGCCTGCGCTACGATCTGCCCAACTTTCGATGTGTTGAGGGAAAGGGTCGGAAGCCTCGCGTCGGAAACCGTCCAGCTGCTAAATAATCAATAAGAGAATCCGTAAGTATTGTAACGTTTTGCCTCTGAACAGTTTGGTAAGACGTATTGTCACGTTGCTCTGGTTAGGGAACGTCTACTGTTCCGTTTTCGGTTTCTGTCGACACTGAAATTAAGGTAGCCACTCAACTGTAGGCTCATCCGGAAATCTTGTCTTAAGGCATACGGCACTCGTTTCTCTTTTATGAAATATCAAAAGCGAAAAAATGTAAATAGTCGTGGTTTAAGCTCTCCGACCTACGTGTGAACCACACAGATGTCGATCAACATTGACTAAATCTTAAAGCTAAATTTTAGCTAAGATATTTTAGAGTCAACAAGCGTCGTAAGACTCCTTTGCACATAAGTGAGTCCACCTATGCATTCAGAACATAACGAAAGTAAGAAAATACAAACATTGCAGACAGAAGGAAATCATTTCAGTGCGTGGACCTTCTTTTCGTGCTATGATATGAGGAAATTTTATAATAGCGTTGAGTGGCACTTATGTCTTCGTTTTGCATCTCAAACAAATTATTAATTCACTTTGTATTTTGGGTTGTGAATGCATTCTATCAATCATCGAGAAAATCCCCAGATTTACTTTGTCAGCGTTGAAGTGATTCTTATTTCAAAATACGTTTATTCGCCTCCGAGCTAACTTTAGATTTTATTGTGCTTTAAGTTTAGGTCAGTTTTGGAAAATGTGATTAGCATGTGATTAGCAATCATACCACTTACGTTTTCACGCGCCATTTATTTTAAAATGCTGATCGATCCATCAGTTAGTCGGTCACTTGTAGGGTTCATAAGGAACTGAAATTAAAGATGGATTTTTATTTATGAGAGTAAAGTTAAGCGCGAAGTCAGTTTTGACTCCGCTAATGTGAACAAAGATCGATTATTCCCGGCAGGTTATCACGGTCACGCAACGTCAACTGACCAACTCGAGACTAATCAACTTACTGACTGATCAACTGATCAACTGATCAGCTCAAGACATAGTTGAATGACATTGTCCTTGCTTCAGTGATTAGTCTTCCTGGTGTTGTGCGTCGTGCTGAATGTGACCCATAGCGCTTTTTCTCTTTTATTAGTCTTTTACTACTACTATGAGTCACAGTTCCCGTATCGGTTTTGTGGTATTCGGTTTGGGTCGAGCAGGTGTCATCCATTCCACGAACCTCATACGAAACCCACAGGCAACCCTGAAATGGATCGTAGATATTGACGAAGACAAGGCCAAGAAGTTCGTGACAGAAAATTTCATGGATACACAAGTTATTGCCCCATCCGACATGGACAAAGCGTTACTTGATCCAACCGTTCAGGCTGCAGTGGTAGCTACTCCAACTGAGATGCACGAGGATATTGTGATGCGCTGCTTACGAGCGGGAAAAGCTGTCTTCTGTGAGAAACCAATTGCTCCTACCTTACAGGCTATAGGTAAAAAGTTATCCAGACCCCTGACACCAAATTCTTACAACGGCAGAATCGCATGTTAATAAACAATATTAGGTATTTCAAGTTTACATGTTCTGAAATATTCCCAGGCCTATTTAACAATGACAACTTCTGTGTTTTCTGAATCAAAATTTGAATCCATTCCCCACCAAATGTTGCTGGATACGCTCCTGTATTCCACTTATTTTCGTCTTGCTCGTCACATTTTTATGACTAATTTGTCCCCCTTACAGTTTTAATTGATTGATTGTTTAATCCATTTATTTATTCGTTTTTTTACGATGTTTCTCAGAGCATTGTTACAAGGAGGCCGACAACCAACACCTTCCATTGCTGTGCGCTTTCAACAGACGATTCGATCCAACAGTTCGGTCTGTGTTCGACAGAGTTCGAAAAGACGACATTGGCAACATTCAGGTCGTTAAGACAACTAGTCGGGATTCCACTCCGCCATCAGAAGGTTATATAAGGATTTCCGGGGGAATCTTCCATGACTCCTGCGTTCATGACGTAGATCTCATATGCTGGATGCTGGGTGAAGCTCCTCATACAGTCTTCTGTCTCGCCCATGCCTTCCATGCGCACATCGGAGCTATGAATGATGTAGATACAGTTGGAGTGGTCATGAAATTTCCAAGTGGCGCCATCGGTCAGATAGATATGTCACGCCATGCTGTTTATGGCTATGATCAACGTGTTGAAGTGTTTGGATCTGGTGGAATGCTCACCAGCGACAATCAAAGCAGTCTCTGTGCCACCTATTTTCACGCCAGTGGAAGCACACAGAATCCAATCAAAGTTTCCTTTCCACAACGATATTCCGAAGCTTATGAGTTAGAAATGAATCACTTTATCGGCGTAATCAAACACAAAGACAATTTGCTCATCTCCAAAGATGATGTACTACGTTCATTCACCGTCGTGGAAGCTATTGAGAAGTCTTTCCGGACCGGACAACCAGTCAGTTTATGAAAAGAGATGATTGACCAGAACTAAAATCTGAAATATTACAATTAATGGTGGTTTTTGGCCTATATTCTGAAATTTTAAGTTAATTTTAGTGATTTTCCTCTTTTCTGGAAATGAAGAAATTTTACTATTACTTTTAAATGCAGATTTGTTGGACATTTGATTAAATTTTGCCGAGAAACGCTCATGTCAATGATGGTGGCCGAAAATTAAAACACCGAATATTTAACAATTATACGTGCCCCGTTGGTTATGGTAATCTTATATTCGGTAAGCCTGAGTAGAATCATGAATTGTTGGAGTAAAAACAGAAAGAAATAACCCTAACAACTAGCTATTATGTGGTTTGACAACGACCGGAAGACAATTGTCTTTCCCTTGTCCCAAATGTCGTTCCAACATGCAAATTAATCATGCATCAAGCAAAACTGCCTAAATTTCCGTTACATTTCTTGAAAATTTTCATACCAAATTTAGTGGCTTTTTGGTGGATATGGAAGTCGCATTTTCTATTAGTTCTGCTATTTTTTTAAGTTTCATACTCTGGGGCAAACCGACTTTTTACGGCCATTTCTTCAAGGCTCGCTCGTGCACTTGCTCGCTTGCAAACGAATTCATTAACAATATTTGTCGTAGCTAGGTTATGAGCTGTGAGCTAGGTTACAAGGTCATAACATAACTCGGTTCAGCCAATCAGAAGGCAAGAAATTCAACAACGGTGATCCAGTTTTTACCAAACTAATTTATTTCGTGCAGGAACTGGTTTAGGATTCAAAGAGTAACAGAAAGTTTCTGAAAATTTCCCTTACTTGTGCGCAAAATGGCTTAAGGTTTTTTGCTTTTGTTTGTTTGTTTGTTTCTATTTTTGAGTTATTAAAAAAAACAAAAAACAAAAAACTCCACGTCAGCGTATAGAGAGTAGTATGTTGCTCGCACCAATCAGATCGTTTAGGGTATGTATCTCGCATCAATCAGAGGGTCGATTTTGTTTTTGGTTTGAGAGGTGCTCAACGAAGTAATGCGGGATTCGGAGAGAGCGGTTCGTAAAATGTAATCATCTTTTAGAATGAGAAATGTTGGCTTTTCTGTATTTTTATCGTGTATTTTACCGCGCTTTATGAGAAATGCGATACTACTGGTCAGATGAAAGATATCACCTATAGTAAACGTGTTACATGCTGTGAAAATGGTGGATAGTTGTTCGAGAGAAAATGGAGTCCTGTGCAATGTAGCACGATCATGGTTATTGTTCCTTCACGACGAGGGTGAGTGGAAAAATTTGGAATCAAATATTACTTGAGGTGTTGATAAATTGCACCAAACATTTTGATTTTAGCAGTTCTTTAACGGCAAGCTGTGTTGCAAGATTCATGAGTTGTTGATTATGCCGATTGTATTTTTCTGGATTGGTTTGCTCGGTGCTATCTCGATCTCTAGATGAATGTCTGATTAAAATTAACCATGGAAGATATTGTATATGGTTCCGATGCCTGGAGAAAGTGATCTTGTGAAGTCGTTCGTGTTTGGCCATGGACGAATCCAGATACCATCGTTGGCATGTTTATTTGATTTTGTTATCTGGAATGAATGATTTACGGAGGTAAGTTAATATGATGTAATCCACTAACGTCGAAAATGTATCAAGTCCAAGGAACAGTTTTGGTCTCGGTCCGCATTTTTGTCGACAAAATAAACACATACTACTTAAAAGATAATAATACGGACCACGTGCAAAGCTGTCATTGTTTCTCAAATATTGCGTGCGTTAAATATTCAATAGTGACATCTCATTTACATCTACATCTACTTTTATTGTTGGTAAAATCTGTACAGACATCACACCAAACAACTCGTGCGCAAAGGGAGAAGACTATATGAAGGCTTGAAATTATATTAAGATCGACTTTGATCAAGAAACGGGCTAGGAATATTCCACAATAGTGCAAATAATCGTGGTAAAATTTCCGCACAGCCCCATACTTCATTATGCATTCAGTTCTTGGATAGAGAAAACAATGACAAAAACAATACATTGCCATTGAGAAAACAGATTTGTTTAACAATAGTATGGGGCTGTGCGGAAATTTTACCATAATCGTGAAAGGTGATCACGGAGGAGCGATTGCGTGACGCTCGGTAAGTTATAAGATGACATGCTATCACATACCAGGCGAAAAAACTCTTTAGATTCTCAGTCTGCATTTTGTAACCACTCTGCAGTCAACATTTTGTACCTAGTCTACATTTTGTATCCGGTCTGCAGTCTGCATTATGTACTTACAGGTATCCGTGGCACCAATACAGTTTATTTTCAGTTACAGTTATTCGCACAACACACACAATCTACCACAAGATACCTGTGTGAGATTTAATTCGGCATTTTCGTTCTTTTTCGCGTTAATACTCTTCTTTCCTTTTGTAAAAATGTAGACATCACATACAATGTTTCAAGTAATCCACCCACCCCCAAAAAATAATTCTTGCATGCATAGCATGCCTATGTTTTTTCAAACTGCTTTGTTTTTATCAGCTCCCTTTTCCTTCTCAGCTTGTTATCATGAATGCAAGGCAAAGGAAAATGGAATCAAATACACATGTAATGAACTGAAGGTCCTGGGTCATTTTTGAGTTATTTAAAATAAAAATAATAATAACTCTATGTTAGAGTCAGGAACCATTAAGGTATCTGTGGCACCAATACAGTTTATTTTTGGTTACAGTTATTCGCACAACACATACAATCAACCAAAAAATACCTGTGTCTGAGTTTACTCAACATTCCTGTTTTTTTCTGTTATAATACTCTTTCCTTTTGTAAAAATGTAGACATCACTTAAAATGTTTCAATTCATCCACCCATCCAAAAAATAACAGAGCATGCCTATGTTTAACAAAAGTCAGTATGATTGAAGTGAAATGCAGATGTATTTAGAAACCACTGTTTACCAGGGTATCATTGGAGAACACAGCAAAATAAACCAGAAGAACAGCTATTATGGCAAACATCAGTGTGCCTAAGTTTTGGGAGCCATCAGCGATTCCACAAGAGGTATGCTTCCCATCTGCCAATCATAGCTCAACACACTCAGTGATAAAAGCAACCAAGAGTTGAATGCAATCAGATATGAGTAAGTCATGATGCGAGAACTGAGACAGTCTGAAAATGAGGTAGGGTTGTCCTGAAGTGTAAAATGTGGTAGATTTCCTCCAAGCATCCATACTCTGAATGCCATGAGACAAAAAACCAGTGGCTGAAAAAGAAAAACATCCAGGTTTACCTCAAGTGAGTAAAAAGGGTGTTAACTCTGAACATAATCAGCTAGGTCATTTGCTTTTTTCAACTCTTTTCTCAAAATCCCTACAAAACTTTAAATCCTAAATATATGCCTCCACACTGTCAAATCACATTACACTTTTTAAAAACAAATTTACTTGCACTTACAGACACAGAGAGAACAATTGATACAGTTCTTTCTCCAACAACTCTGCTGGTAAATACAGTCAAACAGGAACATGGGTTGTTTTTATTTCATAAAAACTTCCTAAAAGATAGTTGAACAAAGATTTAAAACATACAAATGGCAAACAATACTCTTGAAAAGAGGATCCACTTGTTTCATGAAATAACTTCTTTCTTTCTCCCTTTTTCACTAAAAATTGCTTTTTCTTGATTTTTTTCTATCAACTTGAGGTTCAGGCTATTTCCTCTAGACCCTTTAACTTTCATGAGTGACCAAGACAGAATTTCTCCTTACTATATCTATAAAAAATCTTAAAACCAAGTGAGGAGAATAAAGAAAAATATCAATTATGGGATTACTAGTTGATCCAATACCAAATTCTCCAAACTTACATAATGAGAATTGTTTGGCAGACAGTAAAGAGAATCACTTATGAGATCGTGGGAGTTAAAGGGTAAAGAACATTTTTAAGTCATTTAATGTCACCTAAACTGTAGCTCCAATGTCTTGTGATCTCTCATAGTTTTTTTGTACTCAGCAAGTAAGGAAACAGTTCACAGAAGTTCCAATGTAATTTATATGATAAACTGAATCATGTGCATTTTGATCTTCATGATCTATTGAAGGAAAGATGCATATATGATGTTTAGATTAATAACCTTTTGCTTTTTCATTGCATAAAACAAATAGATTCCCTGTTTCATGGAATAGTTAACAACAGATCTTAGAAGTTTGAAGGTTGCAAAAGAGTGGCAAGACCTGAACTTACAGCTTCTGTATGGACAAGATGTGTAGCAAATAGAATTCCCGCAATAAATGCAAATATACTGGACTTGAAGGCCACCACCTTGCACACACAAGTATACAACAGGCAAACCAATCTGTGAAGAACAACATTGACCACATGGTATCCAAAAGGTTTTAACCCATGTATCATGAAATTTCTGTGAAAGGTTAAGACACAAAGTGGTCTGTGCAACTTATGGCTTGTATTACTCCACTTTGGCTTGCCCCTGAAGTCATTAGAGAGTATGTTCAGCAGCAGAGTTTCAGGGTGAATGTCCATGTTTTCTTTGATCGCAAAAATATCATCAAAAAATGTCATCAAAAAAAGAAATTGCCCAGTATAATGTGGGCAGTGTAATGTGGAGAGAGCTTATTATGAAGGGTTTGTCATCAAACAGTCCAATCTGGAGGCAGAGAGATGGTTTCTTGAAGCAGCAAGAGACGGTAAACCTACAGGCAGCATAAAGGCTCAACCAGTATTGAGTTTGTTCTACTCCAGACCTGGTGAAGACTCTTTTGACTTACAGAAGGTTGGTTAGCATTTGCTAATTAATGCATGTCAACACTCAACAGCATTATCCTCTTCCAGTCTGTGCCTGGGGTCCATTTAGTAAAACAGAGCCCAATATTTAAAATGGCACATATTTAATAAGTACATACCACTCAAGTTTATAGTCCCTTTTTGCACATGCTGATTGGCTAATTTGGAGGTAAATAGTGAGTAACATTTACCTCACAGTAGCTGAAGAGGCAAAATCAGGCATCAGGATTTTAATTTCTGACTATTGTTTGGTATAGTAAGAGAAATACACTGACTTTTTTTGTATCTGTTTGGTACACACTAAAAAATTTATTTACCTCAATGTTGGTGAAATTGGTGGATATTACCTCCGCTGTGGTGAATAACTATGAAATATAGTAGAGTGAGAAATAGAAAGAGAGAGGCTTTGGGCACTGGTCACTTGACGAACATGAATAGACTCAAACATCCCTTATTTTTCATCCTCCTACAATTTTTGAGTGGTTTACTATTGGGAGTGTTACTGAACCCCTGGAAGAGGCAATAGCCACTGCATACAGTAGTCTTTTTTAATATTTTATATACTCCAGGGGGAATCTTAGGTTAATCATAACATCTATCCCTATCTTTGTCTTACTGAAACTTTTTTATCTGTAACACATCAGAGTAAACTATAAAATAATGTTCATTT